CTCCGATGAAAAGGCAATGGATTACAATGCGCGACTGACAGAAGCTTGATAGCGTTCGACGGTCTTAAGAAGCTCGAAGAAAGAACAGCTTCGTGACGTAGGCAATTCGAGAGGAAGGCACGAGAAGCGAAAAAAAGTGGCGGCAATCTCGGAAATTGCCGGCCATCATTCAGCTCGCTGAACTATCGCACGGTGAAAACGCCATGGCCTGTCCTCTCAGGCGCTGGTTTCTCTAATGGCCGGCAGAATCTTCTATGCGCGGTGTGATTTTATGCTCGGCGAAACTACGTCCAGACTTAGAAGTCTAAGTAACTTTGGGTAAAGTCTCGCTCGCGGGATCGATAAAGAACGAACAGTTGCACATTGTGATTAGATCGCGGATTTTTTGCGCATTCATGGGAAGTTGGGAGTTGCAGAAATACAGGCAACGCGAATAATATACGCAAAAATATACGAAATCTCTAAAGTAAAGAATTCATTATAGTTTAGTAAATAGTACATACAAAAAATTTCTGCGTAAGTTCTGTTGCTTTGATTATGTTCAATGGAACTTGAAAATCCAGTCTAATTATGGTAAAGGATGAACAACGTAACTTCAGTTTATTTTTGACGATAGGGAAAAACTTTGGAGGAAAACATTATTTGATTTAAAGGGAGAAATGTAATAGTGATTCTTCCCCGAGATAATATTTTTCGAGATTTCAAGGTCATCGTGATATTTTTAAACGAGGGTGTGCATTTTTTTATCGTCATCGTACAGTAATGATCTTCACGTGATTTTTACATGATCTTGAGCACGAAAAATTAATTTGACAACAGATGTGCATAATTAAATAGATAACTTTGTAATATATTAAGTATATGAACACGATGTTATTTTGCTATTATATTCACACTTTCGAATAATGTTTCTAGTTCACATTCGTTAATTCACATATATATGTTAATATCTTTTTATAGAAAATATCGAGCTGTACATAAAAAATATATGATTTAAAGAAGGTGAACCTTGAAATCTTGGAAACGCCTCCACTTACAATTAGACAAATCCGGTAACCATCATAAGGGCAAGAGTTTCGATTGAATGAAAAAGACCGTTTGTTATAATTTGTTACAACAGGATACCACATTATAAACGATACAGCGTAACACGCCTAACTACGAGAAAAAGAATCCACAAAAAAAAAA